AAATTCATCCATGAAACACTGGGGATTTTTCACTAGGGCGTTAAAAAAAATAAATTGCAGACTGATGTGGAAAGGTGGAGAACAGAAGATTAGAAGAATGAGAGCAAGGAACCTGCTGACAGATTCACCCATTCCCACTCTGCTGGGAGCTGAACCTGGGACCTTCTGCATGCAAAGCAAATGATCTTCCACTGAGCCACAGCCTTCCCTCTGCGGTGAAATGTTAGGCAATTGATGACACCTGTAGAACCTGACACTATTCAGAGCAGAAATGAAAACTCTAATCAGGGTGCCTGTGTTGTATCAAGTCCGACAAATCATTAAAAATATAATAGCAATAGCAATAGTAATAACAGTTCACCTGGCGGCCTGTGAAACAGCCCCACCCAAAGCTGATCTCCCCATCTGCCAGCTTGGGTGTTGACCTGACAATGTCTCAAAACTTGTTGGCTGCTTAATTCTTCTGAAAAACATAGATGATGGACACCTCCCTTGAGCTTTCTACATCTGCAATAGGTGTGTCCTGAATATAACCTACTTGGCCTGGGAAAACAAGAGAAGGAGACAGATGCTAGTCTTGTAAAACAACAGCAACAACAGCACAATGTTATCTTGAGAAGAGTCTAAGAACCCTTATAGATTAGGCCAAAGGCCGAAATAAGTGTCTGGGAGAATTTATGGAAGGGGGGCGGATTAAAATTTACTGCATGTTACACATTGAAGGGAAACTATATGAAAATGATCTATAGGTGGCATTTAAAACCAAGTAAATTCGCTAAGACATGCAAGACTGAAACTGATACAGTGGTACCTCGGGATGTGAACTGGAGCCCCGTTCGCATCCTGAATGGAATGTAAGATGTGACGGCGTGTCTGTGCGTGCGCAGGTCACGTTTTGCCGCTTCCGTGCATGCGCGTGATGTCATTTTGAGCGTCTGCGCATGCGCGAGAGGCGAAACCCAGAAGTAGCACGCTCTGTTACTTCTGGGTTGCCAAGGATGACTGTACTTGTTGGAAATGTAAAGAAAAAAGAAGGTACATTTTATCATTTGTGGTGGACATGCAAAAGGGTTAAAAAAACTTATGGGAAATGATATATAATGAGTTGGGGGGAAAATGTTTTAAAAGACATTTGTCAAAACCTCAGAAGCTTTTCTTTTAGGTATAAAAGATGTAAATATACCCAGGGAACACAAATCTCTTTTTAGGTATGCAACTATAGATGCACAAATAGCGTGTGCTCAGAGATGGATGGAAGATGGAGGAAAGAAGAAAGGCAGACAAAGTTAATAGAATATATAGAAATGGCAAGACTGACAAACAGAATAAGAGATCAGGATTAAAAAAAACTATTTGAGGAAGACTGGAAATATTTTATGGAGTATTTAAAGACATATTGTAAACATATTAAGAAGTTAACAGTAACAAAATAAATTCAGCAGTAAAAACACATAAAAATTGGGTGCCTCCTTTTTTATTTTTTCTTTATTATTGCGTGTCACCCCAATCTCTGAGCAGTGTGAGATTCCAGGGGTTCCGGGCACTTCCAGGGCTCATGTTTCCTTTGGAATCAGGGACAGCAGAGATGGTGGTGTCTTTTGGATATATGGTTCATTTACACATTAAAGAACCTGAGCCTGCAATGGAGCAGTTCGCAGCATTAACACTCCAAGAGAGACTTGCTTCCCTCCTAGCTGCACCCTTGGATTCAAACAGAAATCAGTTCTGCTTCCAAGCCTGCAGCTTTTCTTCCAACTTCTAGCTCCCATCATTCAACTCTTATCTCTGGCCTTTGTCTTTCTAGCTACCTGCAAGTTGAGGGAGGCATTTGCTGCCTGGCACAGAGCTACTCCCTTTACCTCATCAGGTCCATTACCTCACCAGGAAGCTAGCCTGGCTATTCCAGAAATTAGATAGGGGCCCAGGCATTAGAAAGGTCTCAGCATCAACCTTATCCACCCACCCCAAAAAACTCATAGCACTATCCTTTGTGGGGCAGGGCAGCCTGGGGACAATGTTAAGAGGAGACGTGCCTTGTGGCAGTGAGGACTTATTAAAGAGCCCTAAGATAATGTTGTCAAAGGAATTTACAGTATTGCCCAATGCTAGGCTCCCCCACACTTCCTCTGCTATCTTTAGTTCATGCTGCGGTAAATCCACCATATTTTAACTGCACAAAATTAACTTGTTTTTAATGTTTCTAGTATGGATAGTGGAGGAATGTGATGCAGTTTGCATTTACAGTGGTACCTCGGGTTAAGAACTTAATTCGTTCCGGAGCTCCGTTCTTAACCTGAAACTGTTCTTAACCTGAAGCACCACTTTAGCTAATGGGGCCTCCTGCTGCTGCCATGCCGCCGGAGCACGATTTCTGTTCTCATCCTGAAGCAAAGTTCTTAACCTGAAGCACCACTTTAACTAATGGGGCCTCCTGCTGCCTCCGCGCCGCCACTGCACCATTTCTGTTCTCATCCAGAAGCAAAGTTCTTAACCTGAAGCACTATTTCTGGGTTAGTGGAGTCTGTAACCTGAAGCGTCTGTAACCTGAAGTACCATTGTAAAGGTGAATCTATTGATATTGCACTTTCTGAAATAATATACAAACTGAAACACAGCCATCCTCTGAAATATGCACTAACCTGAATTTTGCAGTGCAGTTCTCTATCCAACCAGTGTTAACAAAAATGCATATATCAGGTAAAAGTGTGTCTATAGATGAAGATATTGTTGAAAGCAACATAGCAAAAATGCATTAAATTAGAAGAAATTGCCTTTTTTTAAAAAAAAAAAGTCTGTTAGTGAAAACAGCATAGGAAAATAGGTGTTGAATGTTCAGGAGGAGAATTGAATTTAAGATTGGGAAAATCTTTCCTTTGTTCTCTTAAGGACTCATCACCCAGGCTGGGCTGGCTATTCCAGCAATTGAATCCTTGCTGGATCCAGGAATCAAAAGAGGACTCAAACATTCAGCCTAACATGCCCCCCCAACCCCCTAACACTCTTTGAAGTCCATGGAGTGAGTCAGGCTGCCAGCCCCCACCCCAACCGTTGTGCCTGCACCTTTACAGCAGTAGCCCATCTGCAAAAGTTTAGTAGTTGAAACCTTTTAACACCTATCATTCTTGTTCTACCTCTAGGCCAAGAAGTGATTTTCTGGCTAATCTTCTCTGTGTTTGGAATGCAACCTTGATTGTATTCACAGCATTAAACCATCACACAACGGCAACCTTTCCCATGGATACTATTGCAAGCTTCGGGGGGGGGGGAGGAGGCAGAATTTGTCTGCCTCAGCACCATACATTTAAAACACAGTTAAAGAGTGTACACAAACACACACACATGCCCAGTAATTTGTGGACCCCTGACCATTAGGTCCAGTCGTGGCCGAGTCTGGGGTTGCGGCGCTCATCTCGCTTTACTGGCTGAGGGAGTCGGCGTACAGCTTCCGGGTCATGTGACCAGCATGACTAAGCCGCTTCTGGCGAACCAGAGCAGCGCATGGAAACGCCGTTTACCTTCCCGATGGAGTGGTACCTATTTATCTACTTGCACTTTGACGTGCTTTCGAACTGCTAGGTTGGCAGGAGCAGGGACTGAGCAATGGCAGCTTACCCCGTCGCGGGGATTCGAACCGCCGATCCTTCAGATCAGCAAGCCCTAGGCTCTGTGGTTTACACCACAGCGCCACCCGCCCTCAGAACTACAATGCCAAGCAACCTTAAAAAATTAGTTCCTGGAGTTGCGGAGGTGGTTTAAAGTGTGTTTCAAATGTATAGTCTGTATGTACATGGTCTGCCTGGTGCCTAAAGATGCATGAAATGGCACCATACAGGATCGAGGGCAAGGATTCAAAGCAAGCAGGAAGGGTAAACCCTGGAAAAGCATGACTGGCTCGTTGGAACTCAGTCACACTTCAACTGCAGGCTTATTCCACTGTATTTCCCCCTGATTAGCCCTCTCCAGGAAAAGCTGCCACCAGGAGACACTTGTTGTGCAGCCTGAGGCTCCCAAGGTACTTTCCTGCTCCCACATGGTGCACTGTCGGGACCTGCACGGTTGTAGGAGGTTCTGCGTGGGCATCACAGATGCTGCTCATCAGACTAAGCATCACTGCTTCCTTTTGCAAACATTTGCTCTGCATTACCTGCTCAGGTTGTTTATCAACTGACTGGGGGAGAAACTGATCTGCTCTGCTCACAGGTCTTCAACAAGCACTGATGTGCAGAAATGTATGCATATGTCTGCATCATTTAATCATTTAGGATCAATTTAAGAAGGATCTTGACAAGCTGGGGCATCTGAAGAGAAGGATGGGTGTGGCCAAGGGGGGGGTGGGGGGCAGCTGCCCCCAATCAATACAAATCCGAGCTTGTCCCCCCCAAAAGAAAATCCTGGTATGCCCATGGACCATGATGATCAAGGGTCTGGAAACCAAGCCTTATGAGGAACAGTTGAGGGAGCTTGGTATGTTTAGCCTGGAAAAGAGGGGACTGAGAAGAGATAGGATAGCCATTTTCAACACACCCAAACCTACCTCACAAGGTTGTTGTGGGGATTAAATGAAAAGTAGGAGAACCATGTATGCCATATTGAGCTCCTTGGAGAAAAGGGTGCAATAATAATAATAATAATAATATCCCGCCCTCCCCAGCCAAGACAAGTCTCAGGGTGGCTAACAACCAATAATAAAAACAAGTTGATTAAAATACAATTTAAAAGATTAAGATACAACATCAAAACATTAGGTTGCAGCCTCTTCACAGGAGGAGAAAGGAAAAAGAAAGAGGGGAGGGAAACAAACTGATTCTAAGCCAAAGGCCAGGCGGAACAACTCTGTCTTACAGGCCCTGCGGAAAGAAATGAGATCCCGCAGGGCCCTGGTCTCATGAGGCAGAGCGTTCTACCAGGCCAGAGCCTGTGTTGAGAAGGCCCTGGCTCTGGTTGAGGCTAATCTAATGCAATGAACAACAACAACAACAAAAATAATTTAATTTTCAGCACACTTAACAAACTACATTTCCAAGATTCTTTGGTGGGAGCCACGTGTTTAAAATGTGATTTCAATGTATGGAGTGGATTTGATCAGATCCTCTGTTCCTCACAAAACAACAGCCCCTCCCCATCATGTTAAGACAACATAAGCATCAGACCAAGCCCCTTAAAGACAATGAATGGAGGGACATTTGCCCCTGTGTTTTGCTCCATCCTCTCAGTGATCTCTTCCTGCTTCCTGCTTTCTCGTTAGACAATCTGGGCTGAAACACGGAAACATGCTCACCTGTGGGCATAACATACATACACTCCTCCCTGGAGCAACAGGGTGAACAAGTTTAACAGTCCTGTGAGCTGTTGGCCCCACCTTTGAGCAGAGGCATCTTCTGGCTTCATCCATTGCAGAAGAACATGGGGATAGGTGACAGATTCACCTAAGCTGTTTGGAGGGATGGGTGCCAATCCTTATGGCATCTGGCTGTTTCCTGGAAAAATGCACAGCGATCAGGAAAGCTCCACTCTGCAACATTCTAATGCATTTTAATACTTCTCCCTGTTTACCAGGGGCACTCCCTATTTAGAGGGGCTCTATCCTGGATAAGTCATGGTTCCTATTTATTGTATTCTAGCCTTCTGGGGTTGCTAGGAATCTTTAAGTTGCTAATATTGCTCAGCTGAGGGATTCAGTTTCTCCCTCCAGGGTGTTTAGAAGGTAAATCTGTGGGTGGCTGAATGCGCATGTAAGGGAAGATCATGCATATGAACACTGATGCAGTTCACTGCCTGTTAATACTAACACAAATACTGGTCATTGACCGTGATAAAGAGATTTTAAATTTAAATACTTTACTAATACGGTAGAGAGCCTGCCTGGTAAACATGAACCAGCAGCCCATAAGCAGCCAGGCGAATATGAACACTATGAAGCATACAGACTTTTAGGTTAAAGTGCGCACATCAACACTAAGGCTGCACACACTCTAACCTGTTTGTAGCACAACAAAGCAGCTTTTATCAGTCCAGAATAGTTCATGCTCATCCTCAACAAGCTGTTTTCATTTAAAACACCTTACCCCTTCCCTGCAATAAGAATCACTGAGCTGCAGTTCCCAATAATTTTTGTTGGGGAAATATGCTTTAAATGTATGGCGCAAGGGGGGATGTGACCTGGCTTGCCAGTTGACCAGACTTGCAGGGTGGGGGTGGGATGGGGAGAGAGACAAAGAAAAACTGGAGACAAAGCCTAGCGAAACAAAAACCCACAGACTTTCATTTCTTCTTTTGGGAACATTTAAGAGCAGCTGCAAAGGGACTTTCTAAGTTTTGGCAAGAGGTTGCATTACTTGTTTGCTTGATCTTAACGTCAGACAAGACAGATAACAAGGATGGAAACTCCTTGAGGCAAACTGTCCTCTGACAAACAAAAAGCAACTCTTGTGACAGCAGAATAAGGGCACATTATTGTTTATACTCTGTATTAATTATACCAGCTGCCGGTGTGTACCAGGAACTGCTTACTACATCTCCTGTGTAGTCTGGAGAAGTGCTGGACTCAAGGTCCCATCTGCACTTAAGGCATTTAAAGCAGCACCATACCACTTTAAGCAGCAATAAGGTAAAGGTAAAGGGACCCCTGACCATTAGGTCCAGTCGTGACCGACTCTGAGGTTGCGGTGCTCATCTCGCTTTACTGGCCCAGGGAGCTGGCGTACAGCTTCCGGGTCATGTGGCCAGCATGACTAAGCCGCTTCTGGCGAACCAGAGCAGCACATGGAAACGCCGTTTACCTTCCCGCTATAACGCGGTACCTATTTATCTACTTGCACTTTGACGTGCTTTCGAACTGCTAGGTTGGCAGGAGCTGGGACTGAGCAACGGGAGCTCACCCCATCGCGGGGATTCGAACCGCCAACCTTCTGATCAGCAAGTCCTAGGCTATGTGGTTTAACCCACAGCGCCACCCACATCCCTTAAGCCAGTGTTTCCCAACCTTTTTTGGGCAAAGGCACACTTGTTTGATGAAAAAAATCTCGCGGCACACCACCATTACAGCCCCGTGACGTCAGCGCGCAGCGTCACGCCGGGAGGGACGCACAAAAGTGAAAGTTTTCAATTTTTTTCCCTCCCCCTTGCCGGGGAACCTCCAAGCTTTGGGGGTGGGGGGGAGGAGGCAGCAAAGCGAGGCAGGAAGGAGAGCACGGCTTGGCTGAGTGAGCTTTGGCAGGGGCAGGGAATGAGAGCCGCGAGGCGGGCGCTGCGGACGGAGGCGCTGCCCACCGAGCTCGCAGCTCGCCCGTCGAAGCCTGCACGATCACCCGCCGCGGGGAGCCGGGGGCGGCGGCGCGGTTGCCGGGCAGCAGCGGGGGTGGTGGTGGCGGTGGCTGCTTGCCGCCCTCCTGGGCGGAGGCGGGCACGGTGGGCACCGGCACGGCCAAGGGCCCCTGCTTGGTGCCGTCGGATGTGGGAGCTCGCTCGCTCACCGCCCCGCGTGTGCTCGCCGAGCATGCGCAGGCCCAGTAGCGAGCGGCGATAGGATGTAGCGAGCGGCAATGGGGCTAGCCAGAGAAGAGAGGGCGAGCCCCCTCCGCTCCGGCCCTAAAAAGGGCAAGCCATGCCCCCTCCAGCCAGCCGATTGGCTGGCCAGGAGGCGTGGCCGGATGGGATTCCCCTGCTCTCGCGGGGGCTGAGATGGGATTCCCCGCTCACGTGGGGGCGGATGGGATTCCCCGCTCACGTGGGGAAGGGCGTGATGCCCGCAACCCCACCTCCTGGGGCAGGCCCAGTAGCGAGCGGATGCGCAGGCCCAGTAGCGAGCGGCGATGGGATGTGGGAGCTCGCTCGCTCGCCGCCCCGCGTGTGCTCGCCGCCGCCGCCCCGCCTCTCACCGCCCGACTCGCCCGCCTCCACGGAACACAAGGCAAAGTTCCACGGCACACTAGTGTGCCGCGGAACACCAGTTGGGAACACACTGCCTTAAGCAGCAATAGGTTCTCCCAAAGAATCATGGGAACTGTAGTTTGTCAAGGTGCTGAGAGTTGTTAGGCAACCCCTATTCCCTCCACAGATCCACAATTCACAGAGTGGCTTGACAACAAATTTCTCTTCCCAGAGGATCCTCTCTTTCCTCCTCCCAGGGAAAGCTCTCTGCTTTCTATGAATGGTCTGCATCTGGGCACCTCCTGACAGTGACGGAAGAAGGGGGATGCGGTGGGTGCGGTCCACTCCGGGTGTCATCCCTGGGGGGGGGGTTCCATTGCCGCACCCCCCAAACACTTGCCACAGGCGGCGCCCCCCACCCTGGGACGCTCGCTGCTCACTGCAGGCAGCTAGCCCAGCCCGGGGTCCACAGCATGTGCACCGCTCTGGGTGCCAGAGCAGCTAGCTCCGCCTCTGCCTCCTGACCAAATTTTGCACGATGGTTCCTGAGGTGAAATAACAGGTTGTTGTCTATATCTGGATACAATTGGGCACCCATTTAACCACGATGTCTAGGGTCCCCCTTGGATGAAGAACTTGATACCAGAATACGTTTTCTGCCCACAGCACTGTTGTTCAAATCAGTATAATGCAAAAGTCAAAGGCACAACAGATGCAATGCATGTCCAGGCAAGTTAAGGCATTGATCCAACAGCTAACACACTCCATGGACTCTCCTTATGTAAAGGTGGGGTGGGCATGACTTTAGCGTGGCAAGTGGGCTGCATCTTTGGACTGGGTAAGCAGATGAGAATTCCTTCTAGCAGACTAGGCCTGAGCAGTAGGTCCCTCATACCTACGGGACCGCCTCTGCCGGTATGCCCCATGGCGAGCCTCAAGGTCCATAAATAGCAACACCCTAGTGGTCCCGGGCCCTAAGGAAGTTAGATTATCCTCAACCAGAGCCAGGGCCTTTTCAACTCTGGCTCCGGCCTGGTGGAACGCTCTGTCTCATGAGACCAGGGCCCTGCGGGATCTGATTTCTTTCTGCAGAGCCTGTAAGACAGAGTTGTTCCGCCCGACCTTTGGCTTGGAGCCAATTTGATTCCCTCCCCTCTTTTTCCTTTCTCCTCCTGTGATGAGGCTGCATATTAATATTTTATTGCTTCTCCTGGGCATAGTCGGCCAATTGGTGCCAAGAAAGGATAGTACTTTTTTTATGTATGCAACAGCAGCAGCAAGAATTCTTATCGCAAAGCATTGGAAGACTCAAGATCTACCCACCGTGGAAGAATGGCAGATGCAAGTAATTGACTATATGGAGATGGCGGAAATGACTGGCAGAATCCGAGACCAGGGAGAAGACTTGGTGGAAAAGGACTGGAAGAAATTTAAAGACTACTTGCAGAGACATTGTAAAATTTATGAATGTTAAAATGATGTGAGATATAAAATAATATGGCATTAGTGAATAAGTTATGAGGAGGCAATAAGGAATGTAAGAGGGATGAAAGTTTGGAGACAAGATTTATTTAAATACTTTGATAGAAAATGAGATCTGGAGTAGGAATTTGCTGAAGCTGACGATAAACAGGAACACAAGGAAGGGAGGAGTGGGGAAGCCAAGAAATAGGGTTATGAAATTCAGAATCTTGAAGGGATTTCTATGTTTTGTTTTTCTTCTTTTTTTTTCTTTCCTTTTTTCTCTGTTTTATGTTTTGTACTATTTTGTTTGCTTCAATTTTTATGTATCTCTTAAAAAACTCTTAATAAATATTTAATTAAAAAAAATTAATATTTTATTGTTTCAATATTTTAATGTTGTATTTTAATCTTGTTTTTAAGTTGTATTCATTCAACTTGTTTTTATTATTGCTTGTTAGCCGCCCTGAGCCTGGCCTTGGCTGGGGAGGGCGGGGTATACATCATTATTATTATTATTATTATTATTATTATTATTATTATTGACATCTCCATGTCCTACGTGACAGAGGTAGAGACTCAGCCAGCTCAGAGCTAGACTAAGAATCAGACACCTTTGTAGGCAGAGACTCGCCAGCAAGCGCTGGAAGGAGGGAACAATCTGGCGACGTGGGAGGCAGAAGAGGGGCTTCAGGTTGAATTGGCATGAACTGATCCAGTGACAGCCCACTGAGCCCCTCCACAGGGAGACTCACCATACGAATAATTAGGGCTTTTTTTCAGCCAGAACTAACTGAAACTTAGTTTTGGCACCTCTCAGGTGGGCACCATTGCTACTCTAAGAGAACAAGGTACCTCTTCTCCTATAAAAACAGCACCGCTAACAATCCATTTCAGAGATGCACAATCTGAAACATTTCCTATTAATCTATTACAGTTCTTCGTATCTTTAATTTCTGCAGCAGCAAAAAAAGAAATCAGTTCCATAATTATTTCAGACTAATATGTATATTTCTCTCTCTGAATGATTTGTACTGATAGGGTGCCTGAAAGAAAGCAAGAGTCAGTACATGACCGAATTCTCAGAGAGGTCATTCTAGAGTCACCGAGAGTTATTTCTGTGTAAGCAAAATTATATAGGATAAGATGATTAATCAAACTCATAAAATCATTCAGCAGAGATGCCTTTAATCAAACAAAAGATCTAAAACATTTCAAAGGAAAAGTATAAATGGAACTGAAGTATGCTTAGGCACCTGTCAGAAGGGCACTGCCGCCACCAGCCCTGGTTCTCCCATTCCTCATTTCCAAAGACAGCCGTTACATACTCAGTTGCAGTTAATTGGTAACCGTTTCCATGGTGATCCCCAAGTTGCTTCAGATGGAGGAGGAGGAGGGGGTTGAGATGACCAGCAGTTTTCTGCATAGAAGGCAATGTGGAAATTGGAAAAGGGAAGTTTTCTCCAGCAGGGTGTGAAACTCATGCAATGATATGACAGATACAAATGTGTTTTGAACAGTAACACAATATCTGTGGGAGATGGAAAAAAACACTTAAGCACTGATGCAAACTGAAGGGAGAAGTATTGATTTAGAGAGGAGTGTCATATATCTGGAAATTGTTCCTGAAGCTCAAGTCACCCATGAACTGGGAGATACCAGCCTGTCTCATTAACAGCATATTGAATATTGGGCATTGACCATAATAAAGAGATGGACTGAATGGTGGTTGTTGATATTGCTGCTGCTGCTGTTGTTGTTGTTAATAATAATAATTGAATTTATATACCACCCTATACCCAGAGGTCTCTTAATCTGGTTAGCAGCAGATTAAGCAGAAACTTAATGGTTTCTGATTTGATCCCAGAATGTCCCACTTTTCCTTAGGACGTCTCTATTTTCACCAGAGAAATGTTGGAAAGTATGGTAGAACATCAAGGGGTATAGAGTTATATGAGCCAAGGAGATAAGTAACTATACAAACTTCAGAAGACATCTTAAGGCAGCCCTGTATAGGGAAGTTTTTTAATGTTTTGTTATATTTCTATATAATGGGAGGCGGGTGGCACTGTGGTCTAAAGCACTGAGCCTAGGGCTTGCCAATCAGAAGGTCGGTGGTTCGAATCCCTGCGATGGGGTGAGCTCCCGTTGCTCGGTCCCAGCTCCTGCCAACCTAGCAGTTTGAAAGCACATCCAAGTGCAAGTAGATAAATAGGTACCACTCCGGCGGGAAGGTAAACAGCGTTTCCGTGCGCTGCTCTGGTTTCCGTTGTGCCAGAAACGGCTTATTCTTGCTGGCCACATGACCCAGAAAAACTGTCTGCGGACACACACTGGCTCCCTCAGCCTGTAAAGCGAGATGAGCGCCGCAACCCCAGAGTCGTCTGCGACTGGACTTAACTGTCAGGGTACCTTTACCTTTATATTTCTATATATGTTGGAAGCCGCAAAGAGTGGAGCGGGATATAAATATGATGATGATGAATGGAGATGATGATGATGGACATCCCTTTTTTCATTATAAAAATGTTGGCGAGCCGCTGCCAGTCGGTGTTGACAGTGCTACGTTAAATGGACCACTGGTCTGATCCAGTATAAGGCAGCTTCCTATGCTCCTACATTGAGGAAGGGCCAGAGCTCAGTGGTGGAACATCTACTCTGCAGGCAGAAGCTCACAGGTTCAATCCCCAGCATCTCCAGACACACTGGGAAATGATCCCTGTCTGAAATCTCAGGGAACCAGTACCAGTCAGTGTTGACCGTACTGAGCTAGATGGACTACTGTTCTGACTCCATACAAAGCACCTTCCTATGTCCCTCACCTGGGGCTCTATTGGAAGACAGTGGAATGCACTGCTGAAATGTTTTGCGCCCCTCAGGGGGTCCCTGATACATGCTGGCTCTCTTACCATCTCTGCAATGCATAATGAGGGTTATGTTGCCACATGTTCCTAAGCACCCTTTTCTTCCGAGCAAGATAAAAAGTGTTGCCCTTAAGCAGCCTCAAAGGCAAGGTCAGCACCTCTCTGTTTTGCTGCATTTCTTTCTTTCTCTCTCTCTTTAAAACAGGCTTAACAAAGAACGCCTCTGTGCAAAGCCTGGGTGTTTCCCTTCTCAAAGAAAACCGGAGAACAAAAGCAAAACTGTCCTCTTTCATGCAGATTAACTTACACTCATCTTATCCATGGCTAATATTAAGCAAGGTTTACGTAACTCACCTCAAGCACAATCAAAGTTGTGGGTCAGCAAGCAGGAGCACATGTGAAAGTTTCCCAGTTCAATTCCCAGTGATTCCAGCTGTGGCTGGTGGGGGGCAAGGGAGGCTCAATGTCTGAAACCCGGGAGAGTCACTGCCAGTCACTGTAGACCAGGTTTCCTCAGCCTCGGCCCTCCAGATATTTTTGGCCTACAACTCTGTCGCCGGAAATCACCCCCCCCCTTCAGTAACACGTACTGCACAAGCACCGCATCCACACGTACCCGTATCCCCCCTTCCTGACCCAAGAGATGTCCCTTTAGAGGGCCATCTCTTAAAAGCCTTCCGTAAATAAGGAAGCGCTAGCTTGACAGCTTTTGGCTTTTAGCGCTCCGCGCCGCCCTATCCTTTTTGAGAGTAGACCGGACGACCGAACTCTAGGTCAAACGACAGCCGCCTCAGCCAATCAGCATTGTCGAACAGCGCCCCTTGCGGCGGCCACGCTGGTACTGCAGGCTGCGAGCGTCTCTTCCCTCACCTTTTGACAGTTCTCAATACATTGTTTCCGAGTTAAATTGACCGTGACTGATCTAATCAAAATGTTGCAAGTTGTTTCCGAGAAGGGAAAGTGCTTTGAACTTCAGTGACTGTATTCTTTACAAATTCACCAAAAATCAGCCGTACTATGGATTTCCACCGGACCACTTTTATTACACTGCATATTATAAGAACTATCAAAGGGGGGTGGATTCGGATTGATCGGCCATAATCCTTGAACCGCGCAGTCACGTACCAAGCTGCCCTTCTCCGGATGGCGGGACATCCTTGATAGCCATCAGGAGGGCTCAGACAGCATCCCATCAGAAACACAATAGACTGCATACGGTAGTGTATTCCACATGACTCCGAATAAAGGGCTCTGGCCGGACCCCCCCCAGGGGGCAGGAAGACTTCGCCCTTTCCTTTGTTTCTGAGAATGACTTATGGGGAGGGGGGAGAGGAGGTCACTGCCAGGTGACAGGCTGCTCGGATTACCTGGAAACTCCTCCCCGACTCCTCCTGTTCCTTAATAAAAATCATGATGTAAATATGATGTAATTCTGGGGGTGTAGTCAAGGGGATTAGTGATTAATAAAAGTTAGGGTCTCCCATTGTTCAGGGCTTCCATCTTGCTTCACCTCGTGGGCGGTGGGAGTCCTGTCGCGACAGTCTTTTATTAATAAAGACCAAGCCTACTGGCTGCTGTTTTGCTCTGACTTGCTCTGGTCGGTGTCTTTGTTTGTCCAAGAGAACCCTCGGATTGTCCGGTAACAGTTTTTCGGATTGTCCGGTAACAGTTTTTGGCGACCAGACTCAGGGACACTTGGTTCTCCTGCAAAGGTGAGAGGGGAGATAGAGGGGATCGGGCGCCACCGGGCAACCTTAGCCCGGGGATCCTTTTTTTCCTCTCCCTGCCTCCTCTTTGCGGGCGGTAATCAACCGTCACCAAAAGCCCAACCAGAGAGAGCAAAGGCGAGGTAAAGCCGGCTAAAGAAAGGATCCCGGGATCTGCGGGGGACATCTTCGAACGTGAGTATGGTTTGAAGAAAATACATTGGGAGGGGGGTGGAAAAAATAGCATCCTCACGACAGCCAGACTTTCCTTCTATCATTTCCAACGTTCCCCCACGGGGTCGTCCAGGAACGTCCTTCCTCTATCCTTTTCTCCCCGATCCTCACCCTTCGGAAAGTGGCCAGGGAGGTCGCGGAACTACACTATCTGACGTTCCCCCACGGGGTCGTCCAGGAACGTCGAAACCTTTCCCTTTCTCTTCCCCAAGTTCTTACGCGGTCCGTGACCGGGGAAATTGTGGTGCTTTACTGTTTTCCGACGTTCCCCCTCGGGGTCGTCCAGGAACGTCTCGGTCTCACTATCCCTTTTCTCCCCCGTTTTCCGTCTTGGAAATAAGTCCGGGAAAGCGTGGCTCTTTACTGTCTTTCTCTGACGCCCATCCCTCGGAGTCGTCTGGAGGCGTCCCTCAAAGCTCTCTCTCTCTCTCTCTATCCTTCTTTCTGCTAATTATGCAAACGAAGCCGCCCCTCCTGCCCGGCGACCTTTGTTAGGGATGACCCGGGTACGTGAGAACGCAAGGTCGTTTGTTTCCTTTCCATACTTGACTTTTCTCGGATCCCGATCTGGCATTGCACTGCGCAAGCGTCCAGTAGGAGATTTCGAACTTAGTCCCAAAGGCTAGGCAGGAGGCTGTCGTGAAGGGAGAGGGGCGGAACCCGGGTTGGGGCCCCGCACTAGGACCAGTTGTGTAAAATGTGATGTAAGGATCCGCTGTTGTGTGACGGGTGGAGTGAGAGACCCGTGGAATAAGGTTTAGTGTTTGAGGTCGTGAAGGTCTAAGTTGAATCCAGTCAAGGGATAGGCAGGTCTGAGTTAAGTAGAAATAATAGAGGTACCTTAATTACTGAAAGAATATTATTTTTCCCCTTTTCCCTTCTGTATGTGTGTGTGTTGTGGTCTCGTTCTTGCCCTCCCTCTGTTTGTGCGTCTTCCCTAACTCTAGTAAGCAGTAGAGCGATGGGTGCCCACGCATCCCAACACTCTGACTGGGCTCCTCCCGGTGACCAGGCATCTATGAAGCCTTGCCGCCCTGGAGAGGACTCCGATACCCCTCTACAATTTGTTCTCCTTAGTTGGAAGGAATTGAGAGGGAGAAAGGGACTCTCAAAGTCGAAGCTGAGGGATCTCTGTAACATCTCGTGGGTCGCATTTACCCACCATTTAGAACCGGCCTCAAGATGGCCCCCCACGGGTCCTTTAACATCGAGAGGATACAAGCACTTAAGACATATTTGGCTGATGAAAAACCCCGCCAGCTCTATTACCTAAACGCTTTCGTCGAAGCCCGTGACTTGTTTCAACAAAAGCAGGCTCGAATCGTCCGACAAATGGCTGTTCTTAAGACAACCGGACCTCCCCCTTATGATGAGATTAGAGCCCAGGAAGAACAATTGGACAGGAGCCTCATCCCCTTCTACTACCCTGGGCCACGAGCTCCCCAACCGTCGGGATCAGGGACAGGAGCTGGTGGGGGAGGTGGAGGACCAAGGGAAAGCGCAGCCAATAACACCATTGCCCCGTCCCAAGCCTTGCCGAGTGCACAACCACCTAACCCCACCACCGGCACGCCAAGCTCTAGGGGAGATGAACCGGACTTAGATCTAGGGCCCTTTGTTCAACGGCCAGCTACTAAACGGAGACACGGAGGGCCCCGTCTCCAGCAGGACCCGAAACAGGGACCCTCCGTCAAACGGAGAAGTAGAAGGTGCCTACCCTTTGCGAGCATTGCCCATACCGCCAGCCAGAGCTGGAGATCCACCTCGCATGGTCTTCACCCATCAACCTTTCCTCACTTCCGATTTGATGAATTGGTCGGACAAAATGCCCTCTTTAAGGGACGACCCTGATAAATGTCACCGCCAGGTGGCCACCATTTTCTCTACTCACAATCCTACATGGGCAGATGTGCATATGTTACTTGGGGCCCTCTTCAACGAGGCAGAAAAAAGGAGATACTGGCGAAGGGGGGGAAGCTC